AGTATTGGTAGTGCGTCTACATCTCAGGATCCAAAAACGTTCTCGTAAATTGTTGATGACAACGTTTGTTTGAGCATGATGTAATTTCTGATGGGTGTACTCTATCAGCTTTACCACAATGGGGTGACTTGAGTCTAAAATGATGGGATAACGGAAGTCATGCGTATCAATCCGGTTTGAAATTAAGCTTCTTACTCTCCAAAGCCCCAAGTCGTCTTCATACACTCCCATAGTGCATAGTCTGATGTCATCTCTTCCCAAGAAACTCTCACTTTGAACCATTTTGAACAAGACTAGTTCGGCTCTAATGACTTCTTTTGTTTTCAGATTCGATCTAATACGAAGAGCTTCTCTACTTCGACAATTGTTGCTGAATCTCTGAATCCAAGCAAGAACACGTATTATTCGTGGATAACTAGAGATAGTTAATAGGTGTTCGAGCAATTCCGATTTCTTCGTATCTTTGTTGGGTTTTCCTACTATAGGGGATAACAGTGTAGCGTCCTCAACAATATTCTTCTGTTTAGTGGTTTTCTTCACTTCGCTAGCTACATTTTCATCCACCATAATTGTTGTATGAGGCCATTCCTCCTGAGGGAGTCGAAGCCACGAAGGTCCCTCCCACCATCTATAATCCAAAAGTATTCTGACGGAACATCCTCTCGACGGGAGATCCGCAGGATTCATGTCCCCTGGAACATGCCGCCATGAATTCGGATCGCTCAGTTGACGTATTTCTGAAACTCGATTCCATACGAATGTAGCCCATTGAGTCCTCCTCTGGATCCAAGCAAGAACCGTCGTCGAGTCAGTCCAATAGAAAGTTTCGACTTGAGGATTTCCTAACGCAGTTAATGTAGACCACATTAACCTAGTTCCTATCGAGGCTGCTAGGAGTTCTAATCTTGGTATTGTAGTCATCTTCTTTGGTGTCACACGATTCTTAGCCTGTACTAAATGTACATCAACCTTATCTCTCATTTTAACTCTGACAAATATTACTGCGGCATATGCCTCTTGACTAGCATCAACAAAGAGATGTAAAGATAAAGTAGACTCATTGTTGCCAAATATCCACCGAGGGACTTTTATTTGAGATAGACTCCCTAATTCCCGTAGCCATTGCAAAAATGCTTCTTTTATCGGTAGTTCGACTTCAGTATCCCAATCAACGTTTTGTTCCCATAATTTCCTCAAAAGTAACTTAGAGTAGAGAGTTACAGGACAGATAAACCCAAGGGGATCATAGACCTTTTGTGTAGAGGATAAAATTTCTCTCTTTGTAATTCTGTTCGGAGTTTCTTGCTGTAGAGCTATACGTGAAAGCATCAAGACATCCTCCTGTTTATTCCAAGTCATTCCCAGGACTGTTACTTCATGGAAAGGATCACGTTCACCTGTGAGCTCCCATCCACGCAGATCAAACCCGCCTGAGCTCATGACAGATCGCGATCGCTCTGAAAGAATTCATTTCTTCTTCTGTTTCGACACTTGTAACACAATTATCCACGTACATCGATTTTCCAAGCCTCTCAATTATGGATTTTGTCTGTTCATCGCTAGTTCTTTCAAGAACTTGTTTCATGTGATAGTCAAGGGTAGTCCCTAACAGAAAAGGGCTACTGGTGATTCCAAAAACTACTCTACAATGTCGATAAGTTACTATTTTGTCATCAGAAGTCCGCTGCCAAAGGAATCTCACATAATCTCGTTCCTTAGGGGTTATACTGATTTGTAGAAATGCTCTTCTTATGTCCATAATGGCTCCAATGCGTTTCTCACGAAATCGTAAAAGTAACGTTGGTATAAGCTCAATAAAGTTGAGCCCCGCCTCTAGACATTGGTTCAATGAGACTTTACCCTTTTCCGTAGCCGAGGCATCGAAGACGGGACGTATAGGTGTGGTACTATTTTCCTTAACAACGTGTCGATGAGGCAAATAATGTCCAGGGTGGCTCAATTCTTCCGTAGGAACCTCCTCAATTATGCCTTCTTCTAGCCATTCATTGAAAACTTTTTCGTACTCATGAAGCAATCCATCATTGCGAAGTTTTATTATAGTATTTCCTAATCTTCTTTTGGCAGTTTCTCGATTTTCGGAGAGAGGTGGATGATTTTCTTTCCAAGGCAAAAACACCTCGTATCTGCCAGTCTCCTCAATCTTAATTGTATCATAGAATCGGCAAAGGACCTCTTGTAAGTGTTCTTCTTTTGTGGACTTTCGGATAGGATCCTCTATACCGATAACGTCAAGATTCCATAAGTCAGTTATATCGGCATCTTGAACGTACATGGACAGAACGGTTAGTACCGTGTCCGACTCTTTCTTCTTAAATCGTGGAGCTCGACCCAATAATGTCCATCCTAAACGCGTTTCGATAGCGGTGACTCCACACTTGAGATTAACAATTCTTCCGGTATATATTTTACCTGCGACATCCGCACCTATCAAAAGAGAGATAGTATTATCAGAATGTTCATAGTCCGATAATGTTATCGATTTATGTCATAATTCTTGTATCCATGGTCCTCCGGACACCCTTGGAATGTCTTGACAAATGGTATCTTGTTGATAGGCCATGAATTCGTAATCGCAGGATCCATCCAGACTACGTAAGTGTACATTATAATATTGATGCTCTTGCGGTCGAGTCTGTGTTCCTCCAAACAATAAGTGGATCATTGTACGTTTTCCCATCGGTTCATATCGAAGCTTCTTAGCTACTCGTTCTGAAATATACGAATAATGAGAACCGGTATTTATAAGTGCACGTACCTGTAATTTCACTCCTGCGTTAACCAGACAGACTCGTAACGTCTGTAGAAACACCTCAGGCTCTTTGGATAGACTCGCTAAATTTTGTCCCTCTACTTTGTCCTCTATCTCGCTCCTTATCTCATCGGGCTCCTTAGATTTGAGATTCGAAGATATGTTACGGCACATTAACAGTACATGTTGTCTTCTGCACCAAGGACATGACTCCTTATAGCGACATCTCCTGAAGCTGTGACCTAACTTTAAACAGTTGAAACAAGCGTTCATATTCCTCGCTATTTTCTGTCTTTCTTCCAAAGACATTGTCTTTGCTTTGATGCACGAACTACTGTCATGTTTCTCACTACAAAATATGCATTCTACCCCTTGCAATGGTTTGGCATTAATAAGTCCAGATGCTGAGGCTACTTTGTTTGATTGTAGTTTTTGTTTTCCTTTTGACTCTTTGATCTCCTTGAAAACTGCTTTGTCGTCAAATCTTTGTACTGCCATGGCTATTCTCTCTTCTGCTGTCACTTCCTTTTGCAAGAAGTCCATCAATCCGCTCAGTCGATCTTTGGCATCGTCAGTGCCCGTTGATGTGGTATTTCTCTGCCATACTCTTAATAAATCTTCAGGCAAAGCTGATTCGACTAATGGATATAGCATGGCTGCGCACATTTCTGTCGTTACATTTAAGGATTCAAGTGCTCTCAACTGAGTCTCAAGTTTATCGTAAAGACTGGCCATAGATATTTTACTTCCTACTTTGACTGTGTTAAGCACTAGTTTGAGTAATTCACGGACATACACTTCAATTAGTAAATCACTCTTACCGTAACGGTCTCTGAGTCTGTCAATTGCTTTATCATAATTCTCAGCTATAGGAGGAAAACTGTTAATAAGTTCACTAGCTTTCGAACCTTCTACTATGGCCTGTACAAGATATTGAAATTTGTCCCCTTTTGAGAGAGACCCGTCTTCATGAATGTTTTTAAACAAGCTCCAAAACTTTAGCCATTCTTTCAAATCACCACTAAATTTTTGTAACTCTATCTTTGGCAACTTAAATCTTTTATCTTGTGTATGTGGAGGCGTCGTAATCACATTTAGAGACTCATTTGATCGTGTATGCAACAGAGGGGCTTCTACAATACGACTTACCCTAAGCTTCATCCTTTGATACTTGATACGATATTCGTCTGCATTCTCTATTTCCTCTGACAAGACTTCTTCAGTAATTTCTTCCGCATCTTGCATCCGTTGGAAAATTTGTTGATCGAGCTCGTCTAATTCGCACACTTTGCCTTTAAAGACCTCGAACATTGACTGTAGTTCCACTGTATCGACATTCTCTTCCTCTATTAACTGGTTCAATCGAGAGAATGCACGTGTAAACGCTGCTCTTAAAGCCTTACGCGTTTTCTTTAACTTCTCCATTCCTCTAATTCACAAAAACTATCTCCTAACCTCAATGTCGTGTCGTCGGTCGCCAGAAATGTTGAAAACGATGTTAGCAGGTACGAGGAGAGAGGAGAAGTAGGGTTCGAGTTCTATTGATCTCAAGAATTATGTGTTATAATGGACTGCACTTTATTTGTTAAGCGGAAAAAAACAAATACGTTAGTATAACCGATGCGGTCTCTCGGTTCAAAAAAGGATCAAAAAACAATACAATCGATCATAAACTATATAGAAAGGAAAAGGCGCGGACGTCCTCTTGCGCGCCATCTACATGACTTTTCTTCGATCGACTTTCTACAAAGCGGGTGTTGCTGCTAGACGATATGCTGAAATTTATCTACATAGAAGGCATCCAGACGTAAACGTCATTAGAAGAGTAGACATCAAATTACGTGAAACAGGCAGCATAATCATCAACCGTCTAAATGCTGGACGGGGACCAAATATGAGAATGATTCATAGAGACGAAATTATACAACAATTTCAAGAAAACTCGGGAAGAAGCATTCGTTCCATTTCCAACAAAATAAATATTCCATGACAATCCAGCGCGTTTTAAAAAGTGAAGATATGCACCCATACCATTTTTCGAAGGTGCAACATCTTCGAGAAGATGACGCTGAACGTCGTCTCGAATTTTGTCGATGGTTAGTGCGAGAAAACAACAGGATCTTTATTATTGTAGTTTTAGCCGAACGATTTTACTTTATTTTTAATCGCCGTTACAAATATACTCGCTTGATCAGGAAATTCAAGTTTATTCTTTAAGTTTAACGATACTATTTAACTATAATCACGTAATTGTACAATATTTGAAATAGAAGAACGCTTGGAAAGGATATTATTATTTACGTTTGTCATTATTTTCAGATTATTTTTATGCAAGCAGACAATTTTTTATTCATGTATTACGTAAGAAATAAAGGCAGTATTTATTTTATTAAATTTTCATTATTTATGCAACACAATGTGGAAAAAGGTCAAATGCCGATATTGTTCATAGTTTTTTTATTAATTAAGATAAGATATCTTAAGTACAATCTTAAGATGTCACAAACCAATTATAACAGAGCCGTATAAGCGTCTTAAAATACATCATTTATGAATACTAGAATACACGAACTGGTACACGCAAGTGAGGTGCCCGCGCCGGCCCTGAGCGCTACATGGATCCGAGCGCTTATTCGTTAACTTCGACAAGCTCTGTTGCAAAAACTATTCGTTGGACGTAATTTTGCTAAAGGAAAAAGTTGTTTGTTTTAGCACAGAGTATCATATCCTGTACTCCTGTTCAGAATTGGAGCGTCAATTCGTGCGGTCGTCGATATTGCTCGAGAAACCTCTTCGTTTCGAATCGTTGTTGATTCGACTTTCGAGCAATGTCGAC